ACTACTTTTGTGGAATTGGACCGTGGGATTGATAATTTTCTAATGCAATACAGGAACGCCGTCCATTCCGTTACTGGGAAGAGTCCCGCGCTTCTATTTAAATCTCGTTCGTTGCGTACGAGTCTTGACTGTGCCAAAACGGCTGATGTCACATTTTTCAAGGGTAATGATTTACGACCCGCAACAGGAATAGTGCTTTCATCAAATGGCAAACGAATGGTCACAATTCTCGATTTGGATGATCTCTCTTGTCATCGGAGACACATTGACCAGGTTGAGTTCAATACCAGAGGTCAGTCTGTTAACGGCACTCCTGCTGTTTCAAATACTAATGAGTCCTTTGTAGATGATCTTGTGGTATCCGAACAAAATGCTGTATCTGAAGAACGTACTACCTGTGAAGATTCTGAAGTTTCCATTCCGAGAAGATCCGAAAGATTGCGGTCAAGACCACCACTGGACTATAAACACCCGCACGCTCATTCAAGGTGTGGCGGATGTGATGAACATGACTGATGCTCTATTCATTGCTCTATTCCTTATTCTCTTGTTTTAATATTCCATATGCTGTACATATTCGCCAATTCGAATACATACGTGCTGGTTGCTTCGTTTCGTTGAATTCTGGATTTCTAGTTTGTCGGGTTGTACCGATATACGTACGAAACTTAATTACCACACTAAATTAAGCTGAACTCAAAGGAATATACGTACGAAACTTAATTACCACACTAAATTAAGCTGATTGCAACTCAAAGGAGTCAGTAATCACCAAAATGTTCAAATCTGTTTGTAGTGGTGTAATGTTAAGTTTATCAAGTTATTCTCCTAACTTTTTATATCTGTTCATCACTATGGAAGACGAAATGAAACTTCTCATTGTAGTTTTCGCGGCCCACGTTACTTTGTCTGGTGTCTCTAAGTTCATCTGAACTTGATATGCGGCTGAAGGCAAATCGACAACCATGCAATCATTTCCCATGAGGCATTCCTTCAAACTTAAATCTAATGATAAAATTCTTCATCAAGTAGAAAGCAGAGAAAAACCTGAAGGCATTACTGCCGCTCCGTGCACTTGTAATGAAACCTTATGAGTATGGTCAAATTTTGACATGCCTAGTGCACTATTTTAGCAGCTTCGTCGAACTATTTATTTGGCATTTTTTTATACAACTTGGGGTAGCAAGGAAGCCATCAGCGGGATCAAAGAAGAAAAATTGGCGCGCTCACATCACGCCTTATCGTGAGAGACTGTGGGGTTGTGTGACAGCAGTACGTCTGTAGGATAAACTGGACCTGCCTACCTGCAAATGTAACGAAATCGGTGGACTTGACCACTGGTCACAACCGTCCACATTTTTGTGCCAAGGCATTATTTACTCATGAGTAGCTCTCACCAAGAAGTCAGCAGTGTTCCGTTGCTTGGCGTACCTTTCACTAACAACCTAAGAACGGTTCAAACGAAACAACTGAAAATACTCCCACTGAGAAAACACTTTACGAAACGTTCATATTTCCAGTTTCAAGAAGCACATAAGAGAACTCTTATATGTGTACTTCCAACGGAAAGCTTCGTCACGATATCATATCAACAGCCACCCTGGAACAGTTTAGGTCATTAAAACTGGATGCACCCAGACTGTGAGGTCGAAAACAAACCTCGAGAGCACGAAAGGCGTTACAATCACGGCGAAGGCGCGTACAGCTTGTTGCAATTCACCTAACATGGTTTTTCAAAGTTGAATGTGTTTACTTCACTTGCTAGTCTCCAGTACCCGCGGGTCAAAATAACCATCATCCTTTCGTTCTTTTGCATCACTAAGTCAATAGTTAAGCAAAACTAAACCTAAACCAAATAAGTCACCTTGATCAATGCTGTGTGTTGGCCTGATATCCTTGTTTGTTGGTTAGTGCGGATGACTAAAATTAACGGCAGATTGGTTAGGGAGAGATGTCTTCATAGTGAAACTGGATTTTGCGGCCTTGCTTTTCCTGTCTAGGACACCCTGATGGGTCGTTCACAGATTTTGTTTGCTTGTATTCGCCGAGGGATGTCAGGCAACTGTTTTAGGGGTGGAGGGTGGTGCTGGTGGATGGAATCCTGCTGTTTGGATCCTGTACATTTAGACCCAGACCATTTTGCTGATAACTGCACACCTCGTCGTGTCTGTTCGGCTGATCCAAAACAGCTCTCCACACGCTTGACAGTTTTACGCCACTGCTACGCTGGGATGCTTGGAAATTCCCGCCTATTGGACCATCAGTCGCTGTGGTGTGATTATTAGTCACCGTCTCAAAATGTCCACATTTTTTAAATTTGTTATGTGCCCAGTGTCCAGTGCATGCCCCACCATTGCCGAACCTTTGATTATCGTCTGATATCCATCTACGTCTGTCGGTCGTCTGTTATTGGATCAGTACGCCAGTTCTAGTAGTGTGATGGATTATATTAGCAGAAAATAGTACACAGTACGGATATACGGCTCGTATGTAGGTACATTAATGTGGAACAAATCTCCGGCGATATTTTCACTTGAAAAGTTAACTTTGAGTAATCGGCAGACTTCATGTGCACGTATAATTCAGAAGTTGGAAGAAGCCGATAAATTTACTACCGATTGTTCACATTGTACGATTACTGATTTCTATAACATGACAGGTCATAAATATTCTTCTCCGGAACGTGACCGCGTAAGTAAAACAAACTCCAAAATATTTTCGCCAACATTAAGCGGCACAGTTTCACCGCAAATAAAATCGCACGTGATCGGTTAGCCATTTCTTATCGTGACGTCTTTCAGTAACTTATCAGGGGCAGGAAGCAGACGCCTTCCTGGAAAGTACGTCATTAATAACAATGGAACAACAAGCTAAACTTCAGAACAAAGATTTCTCCCTATATTTTGTTGTTAGTAGAATGTATAATGCTGTATTTTGTTGCAAAACACCACTGTCTCATTACAGGTTTCTTTCAAACCCAATTTCGAGATGCACATGTTGTACCTCACACGTTTAATTCTGCGACGTCATACAAGTGAACGTGGCCTCTGTTTAATAATAGTTGTTTGGCATTCACTCATCTATTCACTACCTCGTGCACGTTTTACAGATGAATGCCATACGTTTTCAGAGATGAAGAAACAATTTTAAACACCATCCTTTAGAATTTTAAAACGCAGTTGCTGATTCTGTTCAAACTCTGAGGGATCAAATCAGTAGAACACCACCAGCTGAGTTTGGTCGCCTATGTAATCCCGGCCTCACTTTTGAATGAATGGTGATCGAAAATGGAACGGACAGCGGACNGACCCAGACCATTTTGCTGATAACTGCACACCTCGTCGTGTCTGTTCGGCTGATCCAAAACAGCTCTCCACACGCTTGACAGTTTTACGCCACTGCTACGCTGGGATGCTTGGAAATTCCCGCCTATTGGACCATCAGTCGCTGTGGTGTGATTATTAGTCACCGTCTCAAAATGTCCACATTTTTTAAATTTGTTATGTGCCCAGTGTCCAGTGCATGCCCCACCATTGCCGAACCTTTGATTATCGTCTGATATCCATCTACGTCTGTCGGTCGTCTGTTATTGGATCAGTACGCCAGTTCTAGTAGTGTGATGGATTATATTAGCAGAAAATAGTACACAGTACGGATATACGGCTCGTATGTAGGTACATTAATGTGGAACAAATCTCCGGCGATATTTTCACTTGAAAAGTTAACTTTGAGTAATCGGCAGACTTCATGTGCACGTATAATTCAGAAGTTGGAAGAAGCCGATAAATTTACTACCGATTGTTCACATTGTACGATTACTGATTTCTATAACATGACAGGTCATAAATATTCTTCTCCGGAACGTGACCGCGTAAGTAAAACAAACTCCAAAATATTTTCGCCAACATTAAGCGGCACAGTTTCACCGCAAATAAAATCGCACGTGATCGGTTAGCCATTTCTTATCGTGACGTCTTTCAGTAACTTATCAGGGGCAGGAAGCAGACGCCTTCCTGGAAAGTACGTCATTAATAACAATGGAACAACAAGCTAAACTTCAGAACAAAGATTTCTCCCTATATTTTGTTGTTAGTAGAATGTATAATGCTGTATTTTGTTGCAAAACACCACTGTCTCATTACAGGTTTCTTTCAAACCCAATTTCGAGATGCACATGTTGTACCTCACACGTTTAATTCTGCGACGTCATACAAGTGAACGTGGCCTCTGTTTAATAATAGTTGTTTGGCATTCACTCATCTATTCACTACCTCGTGCACGTTTTACAGATGAATGCCATACGTTTTCAGAGATGAAGAAACAATTTTAAACACCATCCTTTAGAATTTTAAAACGCAGTTGCTGATTCTGTTCAAACTCTGAGGGATCAAATCAGTAGAACACCACCAGCTGAGTTTGGTCGCCTATGTAATCCCGGCCTCACTTTTGAATGAATGGTGATCGAAAATGGAACGGACAGCGGACAGGTTACAAAATTCAGGAACTGTCCGATTAGGTTCTCAGTTCCTCAACGATTGACACCTCTTCATTTGGAAGCTCACCCACTGCTGTGCGTCACAGAAAGCCTGCTTTTACATGTATGCCGTCCATAGGGGTCATTGGATTGAAAAACTCGGATCTGTAGTGTCTGTAATCCGTTGTCACATTTACCGTTCTTCCTGAAATTAAGCCACGCTTTGCAACTGTCGTTCACATTGTATCATGACGTTTGTTTTAATGTTACGAATGCACAATTTTCCGGTGCGACCTGCTGACTTCTTGCTGAACGAGTGTATTAATGCTCCGTTGAACTGTTTGTTGACTGCTGAACCAGTGGGACCAGATCTCTGTTTTTGTGTCAACTGTTGAACGTCACAATAAATCCCTGTGACATTTTTAGCCGTGAATAATTTTCCCACCGTGGGATATATCAGGCACGCGGAACCATCTGTGGGAAATTCCGGCAAGTGAATATTTCCGTTCACAACCAGTTACTGCATTTGGATCGATGTAGTGGACTATTGGACCTACACATTCGTGAGTCCCCATTTGACTACTCATTCCTTTCCTATTGTGATTTTGTGATTTCGTACTGGTTATGTTTGCCTGTTAATTTATCCGAACACGCTGATTAGGTCCTAGTCCACTACATACTTGGTGAGCCCGAATCATTCCTTAATTTTTTTCTCTGCAGTACTCCCGTGCTTTACTGTGTTTATTTTCCACGTTGTTTACGTTAAGTTGCCCGAATTTGGGTTGTAGTTTTCCCAACTTGAGGCCATTTTCGAATCGCGTCGCATTACCTCGCAGAGCAGCAGGTACAATTAAGTGGTAGGATGCTTACCAGACGTCGTTGCCCAAGAAGTCTCTGATTTGATATGCACCCGACCGTCCACCGACCCGTGCGATGCTCTCAAAACAGCTATTATTTCCCGTACCGCTTTCAGCGATGAGCAGAATCTGCGGAAGCTTCTCTCCGGTGTTGACGTCGGCGATAAAACACCGTCACAACATCTCCGCTACATGATACACCTGCAAGGTAAGCATCCGGTAAACGACACAGTTTTGAAAGAACTCTGGCAACGAAGCCTGCCCACTGAAGTCCGTAAAGTCATTTCTGTCATCGAGCAGGATGCTTCCTTAGCGAAGCTAGCCGAGGTGGCTGACCGCGTCCATGAAACCTGCAGACAATTCGTGGTCTCTAACGTTCAGCAACAATCCACTTCGCAATCTAACCAGGAGGTCGAGTTCAATGCAATGAAAGCTCAATTTTCTGAGTTATCCCTCCAACTGAATGAAGTCACCAAACTCATTGGTCGCCCTCAACGACACAGACGATCTAGGTCTCGATCCCACAGTCGTGCTCCCAAGCACAGTGACCAACCTGGCTGGTGCTGCTATCGCCGTCGCTTCGGCTAACGCGCTATCCGATGCCTCAGACCTTGCACCTTTTCCACAAAGCCATCTAAAGTTTCCGCCATTTGCGACTTTCCAGCTACCAACAGCATTAAAAGGTTAAGACGTTTCCTTGGTCTTATCAGTTACTACCGTCGCTTTATTCCTAACTACGCCGAGGTTGTCCAGCCTCTCACCGACCTACCCCAACAGCCACCTTTCAGGCACTCATTTTCTTGGAAAACAAGTGCTGGGAAATCCATGAGTGAGATTATGCCAGGGGCCTCACTACACCGGGCAAGCCTCTTCATTCGCCTGTGTGTTGTCGCTCCCATGCAATCAGATTGCGGCACCATTTTTCATCCCCGAACCTCACCCAATTGGGGGAAATTGCTTTACGCCGCTCTGTACAGAACATATGAACAGCTACTCACAAAATGCTCCTCCGTGAAGACACTTTGTTATAACCCGCAATGGAGTTATTCTTGTGTCGATGCCCCATAGCGCCATCTGAGAAGTCTCCCATATTGTTTATGGATTTGAGGGTCCCGCGCTTGGTGCCACTAAGAAATCTTCAGGCGACTGGTCCCCTGTACGTGACGCCATTTCCTAGATCAGTTACAAGCGTTCTATAACTCCCGAGAATTTGAGCTCTATCAGACTACGATGCCCCTTTGTGCTCGGGGATACTTTTTCACACAAAGAATAGAGAAAATTCCCCCGAAGCATTCAACAATCGTACTCTGTAATAGGGGGTGTCGCAAGGTAAACGCGTTGAACAGTGGGGATTACGTGACCACGAAAACAAGGAGCAACTTTCAAAACGCCCGGGTTTCGAGTCAATGCTTTAGAACGCCGTAATATGCAACATTGGTGAGGACAGTTCAATAGACTTTGAACCAAAGTGAAATGGGTGGATTGATCCGAGATTTTGTCTGAAAGAGCCAGCTGCAGTTGGCAAACTAGCCGGCATAAACAGGAATGGGAGGTTGTTACCAGATCCACCTTTCTGATTTACGTCATATGGTTTCACTGATTCAGGGACTCACCGATCATCACACAGGACCGAGGCTTTCGCCCTAGTTTACCGGGTCGCGTTCGTTCTTGTTGTTCTTTGGCCTCCGTAAACCTGAAAGGCACGGGTGAAAAGGGGCGTAGCACTACGCTTTAGGTCCTCACCGTGGATCCATTATCTGATCGATATGAGGGTTCAGCGAAAAGACGGCTAACAGTGCATCGAATCGGGTATTAGTGTACTACGGATCGTGTGAGTCAGTTTACCTGTGCCTTGTTTCGTGAACTGAACCACCTGTTGGGATACAATCATTTAAAAACTACACCTTACCATCCTGCAGCCAACGGATTAGTCGAACGTTTTCATGGACAAACGCTACGTCTTCCCGCAAATATGTTATGTGCATCCGCATCCAATAAAGATATCTCACCATCGACATGCGACAGTCGACTGAAAGATCATATGCGTACTCTTCGCCCGTCTGACACTCAGAAATCCGGTCGATGCACACATTTGGACCCCGTTCATCTTCTTATTCACATTTATTTGTCCGTGTTGACAGCCTCAAACGACCGTTACAACATCCGTATGATGGTCCGTTTAAAGTCATTTCTCGCAAGGACAAGTATTTTGTGATTGAGAGGAACGGAAAACCGGACTTGCGTAGTATCGACAGACTCAAAGTTTCATTCACTGATGACGAATAACACATAGATCCCCCTACTGTAGTTACTTTACCCACAAGTTCTCGAACCTCCAATACAGTCATTTCAGAGAACCCCGAACAAATTGCACGAAGAATTGACAATCACCCGTCACGTATCCTAAAGCAAACACGTGTTGGTCGAACCTGCAATACTCCTGTTCGCTTCGCAGACTACACCCCTTGAGCTTTGTCAGATAACCGAGCGTCATTCCCTTTCATTATTCCTGACGCTCTAGGAGGGAGTACTGTAGTGTCTGCAGTCCGTTGTCACATTTACCGTTCTTCCTGAAATTAAGCCACGCTTTGCAACTGTCGTTCACATTGTATCATGACGTTTGTTTTAATGTTACGAATGCACAATTTTCCGGTGCGACCTGCTGACTTCTTGCTGAACGA